TCATTTAGGGACCAAGATTGCCCACCCACCTTGCCCTCGTGCCTTCTGAAATTTCCCATCATGGAACATTGGCAGGGTAGCAAATAGAAATCATCTCCAAGTCCAAAATTGTCAAGGAAAAGTCTACAGGAGTTTAGGAGCTAAGGAGACTCCAGGAAGCTCCTCGCAGTTGATACCCAGGGGCCACCCCTATGTGTGATATGACAGTGCTTCCTCCTCCAGCGATTCCTCCCGTGATCAAGCTTGCTCACTGATGACCACTTCCAGGACAGTAAGTTCCACAAGGCGATGGGTCCTCTCTCGTCCATTCCTCTGGTCCTAGGGCGCAGCACAGACCTTGGCACATGGTGGAGTTGAGTGAGTGAATGAGTGCAAAGATGGTTGCTTTGGGGTTTTCCAGTTGATCAGTTTTCCACGCTTGTTGCTCATCCTATGACCTGTGGAGCTTTTTCTTTTTATTGAATTATAGTTGATTTACGATGTTATATTAATTTCAGGTGTACAGCAAAGTGATTCAGTTATCCATATGTATTCTTTATCAGGTTCTTTCCCATTGTGATTTATTACGAGTCTCGAGCAGAGTTGCCTGTTCTATGCAGTAGGACCATGTTGTTTATCTCCTTCGCATACAATGATGTATGCCTGCTGACCTCAGCCTCCTAACTTAGCCCTCCCACCTTTCCCCTTTAGCAGCCATACATTTGTTTCCTGTCTGTGAGTCTGTTTCTGTTTTGTGAACAAGGTCACTTGCACTCTTTTTTAGATTCCACCTGTATGTGATATCATATGGCATTTGTCTTTTTCTGTCTGACTTACTTCATTTAGTGTGATAATCTCTAGGTTCATCCATGTTGCGGCAAACGGCATTTTAATTCTTTTTTCTGGCCGAGTAGCATTCCGCTGTATAAATGGACCACATCTTCTTTATCCATTCATCTGTCTTTGAAACTTTAGGCTTCTCCATGTCTTGACTGTTGTGAGCAGTGCTGCTGTTGACATCAGGGTGCCTGTGTCTTTCCAGATTAGTGTTTCTCTGAAGGCACACCCAGGAATGGGACTGCCAGACCTTACAGTAGCTCTATTTTTAGTTTTTAAGGAATCGCCATAGCTTTCCATAGTTGACTGCACCAGTGTACTTTCCCACCAACAGTGTAGGAGGGTTCCTTTTTCTCCACAGCCTCTCCAGCATTTGTTATGTGTGGACTTTTTGATGACGGCCATTCATGATTGTACTTCATTCATCCTTGTCCTTGCCAATGATATCTCATTCTAGTTTTGAACCTGTGGAACTTTTTAAGAACTCAACTCACTAAATTAGAAGCTAAGGAGGTGTGGTCTATAACAGGCATATTTGCTGAAATTTTTCAGTAAAATGTCAGTAAGGAAACTGATCCTTACAGACTGTTGACCCCAAACGCTCGGCTTAGGAACTGCCAGGGCTGGTCTGCAGTCCCGGGTTCGCTGACTGGGTTTGCTGTCTGCACGTCCACACACAGGGCACCTGACTCCGTTCATACCCTGTCCTCAGACCCTGGCGGACACTGGGTGCAGGGCCCGCAGGGGCTCTGTCCTCAGAAAGCCGGGTCCCCCGGTCCACACCCTCCTCCACAAACCGAAAACCTCTGTCTCAGAGGAACTTCCTTTTCAATTGTGGGGGGGGGGGGTAATTCTTAAAATCGGTTTGTATTTTACAGTCAGAGACGTTATCCATGCACTCTTAATCTTTTCCATTCATTAAAAAATAAGCTGGTTTGGCTTCCTTCAGGCTCATCTTGCTGTTTTCCAGACGGGAAGGCAGGATTGCAGTCCTGGGGGGACTTGATCAAACTCCACCCCATCTGCTACCAAGTCCAGTTCAGTCTTCTGCTATCCGCTACCAAGTCAGACACGTGTGTCTGCCTGACCTCATAGCATGTGGTCACAGTTGGAGCCAAAGAGACCAGCTGAAATGGAGCTTCCCTCCACCTGCTCTCATTAGCAAGACTGGAACGGAGGCCTTTCAGCTCTGAGGCGGGGATTTCACCTCTTCATAACTCTGTTATGCTAACTAAACTTCTTCAGACAAAGTCCCTTTTTTGCTTAAGTGGGTCATTTCTGCTGCTTGTCAAGCAGACCGTAACACCCTGTTACCATCCCCTCCACATGTGCTCATGCTCTTGTCACCGAGATTCTCCCCATGAATTAAGCCTTAGAGTCCTCATCCTGCCCCGCCTGGGCCACCACGGCAGCCCCATGACTGGTCCCAACGCCCGGCTCTCCTGCTTGCAACCCACCTTGGTCCTGTCACACACGCAGCCATGCGGTCAGCCTAACCCAGACACTCAATGGCCCAGCTCCTGGAGTCCCCGCCTTCCTTGAGGGCTCCCCTTCATCATCTGGACCAAACCCCCAGCACTGCAGGGCCTCAGGGCCCACTGTGATCTGCCCCACCTCCTTCTTGCCACTTCCTCTTCTCTCTCTATATCCTGCCCCACCCGCCCATCACCAGGAAGTTAGCTTCAGTAACACTGCATGTGGTTCCCAAAACAAGAGAGGACCTTGACCTCCAGGCTTCAGTGCAGACTATTTCTTCAACTGGGAATTTTCCTCTCTTCTTGTTCACTTGACAAGTTCTCACTCAAGCATTGAGATTCCAGTCAGATGGTGCTTCCTCCATGCAGCCTCCTCGGGTTTTCCCTTTGTGCTTTCTGTCTTCCTTCCACTCTGGAGCCCTGTGGAGTGGTCAAAATCTCATGCTCTATGGTCAGACTACAGAGATGCACATACTGATCCTGTTTCCTGATGGTTGCATCACCTGGCAGAAGTCATTTACCTCTCTCAACCTCAGTTGCCCCACATGGAACATGTTCCTTCATAAGATTCACTATGAGGACTGATCCACATGGAGCCTGTTGGCACCTAGGACAGAGGCTCAATGAAGTCCAGTATTGTCACGGTCATTGCCTCATACCATGGCACTGTTCACACCTGCATTTCTGCACTAAACTGTAGGCAACTCCTTTCCTACCAGAGGCTAGATCTTTCCACATATGTGTGCCCAGCACTCAGAACTCTGGCACAACATGCTTTGGGTAAATGTATTGGCTCAATGCCCAGCTGCAGCAAAGCTTGGCTGGCTGACACTGGGAGGTTTTGAATGCACTTCGCACTTTGATGAACCAGAAAAGGAAGACTCCATGGGGAGAGCCTGAGAGACCCACTTATTGTGGTCTTTGCTGTCAGTAGAGACCTTCAAAAACACCATCAATGAAAGACAAGCCCTAACACTTTAGTTCTCAGTGATGCTTCCAAATCTTTGCCCTTGAGAGTTGAGGGCAGAGGTGGAACTCACCACATCCTTGATGGCTGAGGAAGCGCCCAGGAGTCTGTTCAGGGAAATGGTCATGGTGGCAGGCTTTGGTCTCCAGGGTGAGGGATGCCTGAGGAAAAGGGAACTGAAAAGGGTAGAGGTTCCTGACACAGCAGGCCCAGTTGAAGTCACTTTTCTCTGATGGACTGGTGGGGAGCATCCTACGTTAGACCAGGTGGCTCCCAGGAGCCTATCAGTGCAATTATTAAGAGCTTGTGCCACAGCATCAGATGAAATTTCAGCTCCATCACTTAATAGGCACCTTATCTGTGAATTTGGGGACTTTCTAGCATCTTCAGACCTCCATATCCTCAGATATAAAGTGGCAGAGTAATGCCTACTCTATGGGGCCCCTGAGAGGACTGGTGTTCTACCACCTAAGAAAGATTTTCTGGTGTTCCTGTCCTGTACAGAAAGTGCAAATGATGATTGTGATGAATATGCATTCTGAGACACTTACTGTATCTTAACACATATTCTAGATCCAGTGGGAAATTCCAAGCAGTGTGGAGGAAAGAAACAATATAACTTTTGGAGAATAGCAGCAAAAATTACAGTCTATGTGAGAAATGGAAGCTAATTATTGAGTCCTTTTATGTTCCAGGCAGGATGCTAGGCACCTCATGTTTTGTCTTGTTTATTCCCTCGGCATCCAAGGGTTACACACCAAAGTGTTTGGAAGCTTTTTCCAGAGATTCTCATGATGGGAGACCCAGACCGCTCATCCAATGTGAGCGGATGAGCATCTGTATTTGAACATCTCTGTACATTGATCAGCAATAACGGGGTTAATGATGCTCTTATGCAAAGAGTCTCAATTATGTCTCAACATTAACACCCATTAAGATGAATGACAATGCATTATAAGTAGCGTTTCAATTTGAAATTGAAATTGTATCAATTAGCCTTTAAACTAGCCTAAATAAATTCCGTTTGGTAGCTCAAAAATGATTCAAATGCCATGGCTTTGAATAAGAGGTTTTAAAAAAGTTTTTTTATTCTCTTCTAAAGATTCATATCTCTGTCTATAATCTCTTAAGAGAGAAGAGGAACAGGGACCACAGCCAGTAAATTATTCCAGTTGATGAGGGGTGAGCAGCAGTTATAACAAGGGTGATTTCCCAGAGCGGGAAGGAAGCGCAAGGAACGAGAGTCCCTCCCACTGCTGCCGAGGGAGAGAAGTCGTAAACTCTGGGAAGCGGGGGTCTAGAAGTTCAGTGGGTCTTGTGATGCCACAGCCTCTCAAAGCTGTCCTGGTTCCAGCCTTTGGTGCATCCTCCACCCCAGGCAGGACTGACCAGGGCTGGGGCCCAGAAACTATTCCTGTTCTCAGTTCCCATCCGGCCCCTCCTGCCGCTTCCCTTTGATGATGCACACGCCTGCCTCCCGTCTGAGCTCAGGCACCTCTGAAGTCATCAGTACAACTCTATTCATCTCTCCAGCACCCCCATCTACTTTAGCTGGCAGACATGTGCTAACAACACATGATCGTGTAAATCAATACTCCATCCTTTAGCCAATGGGCCAGCTCACTGACGTGTACACATATTCAGTGTTTGCCTCTTGATGACACTTCAAAAATGTAACTCTGCAATAGCTCAGACCAGAACTTTCCCCTCTGTGTTCAAGCCCAGGAGTGGACTTTGGCAAAATGCAACGGACATCAGGTCTGCTGCCCGATGGCCGTGGCACTGGCACAGGGTTGGACGTAAGGGTCACAAAGAGGAAAATGCTCAAGAAACGCCAGCCCTGGCCCCTCCGCGTGCTGCAGGGCGGTGGTGCTCACGGGCTCCTGCTGCCGGAAACCCAGCCTCTCCTCTGGTCCTGGAACGAGCAGCAGCTGAGCAGGGGGATGAGCCCTTCCTCGTCATCCTCACTCGCCCGACCCTCAGCATACCCGGGAGGTGGGACTAACACAGCCGCTGTGCAGAGGCGCCCACGTGTCCTGGCCCCGCGCTGGGAACATCATCACAGCACCCTCCTCGGACTTTGCATCGCCAGCCCATCCAGCCTGCTGAGGATGACTCTCATTTCCCCTCTGCCGGCCCAGGGCCCTCGAAGACTGCCAACGTGTGAGGACAGGCAGTAGAGCATGCCGCTCTGTGCCCTCGGCCCGAGTGTCTTGCCCCCCTCCACACACACGTATACACACACACACTTTTTGAGAACAATGACTGCAAAACTTTTATTAGGGATTAATAGGCCAGACAAAAGTCTGTCTAGTCAAAACTATGGCTTTTGCAATAGTCATGTATGGATGTGAGAGTTGGGCCATAAACAAAGCTGAGTGCTGAAGAACTGATGCTTTTGAATTGTGGTGTTGGAGAAGATGTTTGAGAGCCCCCTGGACAACAAGGAGATCAAACCAGTCCATCCTAAAGGAAATCAGTCCTGAATATTCATTGGAAGGACTGATGCTGAAGCTGAAGCTCCAATACTTTGGCCACTTTATTCGAAAAACTGACTCACTGGAAAAGACCCTGATGCTGGGAGGGATTGGGGGCAGGAGGAGAAGGGGACGACAGAGGATGAGATGGCTGGATGGCATCACCGACTCGATGGACATGAGTTTGGGTGGACTCCGGCAGTTGGTGATGGACAGGGAGGCCTGGCGTGCCGCAGTCCATGGGGTCGCAAAGAGTCAGACACGACTGAGCAACTGAACTGACCTGAACGGGGTGATTGAACTGAACTGGGTAAGCCAGAGTCTCACAGTTGAAGTCCCACCACTGCTTAAGGCACGAAGTGAACAGACTGACTGACAGCTGCTTCTCTTTCCTGATTCTTTTCATTGAAGTTCAGCTGCTTTGGGCTCCGCTGGTGACTCAGACTGTAAAGAATCCGCCTGCAACGCAGGAGACACGGGTTCACGCCCTGGGTCAGGAAGATCCCCTGGAGGAGGGCATGGCAACCCACTCCAGTGTTCTTGTCTGCAGAATCGCATAAACAGAGAAGCCTGGTGGGCTACAGTCCATGTGGTTGCAAAGAGTCAGACATGACGGAGCAACTAACACGCACATAGTTGATTTACAATGTTTCAGGTGTACGGCAAACATATATATATATAACCCACTCCAGTATTTTGCCTGGAGAGTCCCATGGACAAGAGAGCCTGGTGGGCTGCTGTCCATAGGGTCGCACAGAGTTGGACACAACTGAAGTGACTTAGCATGCATGCATATAAAATTTTCCGTTGTAGGTTATTACAGGAAATTGAGTAGAGTTCCCTATGCTAAACGCTAGGGCCTTGTTCATCTATTTTACATATAATAGTGTGTATATGTCCAAGTTTATCCCTCCCCCCATCTTCCCCCTTTGATAATCATAAGCTTGTTTGCTGTGAGTCTGTTTCTGTTTTGGAAATAAGTTCATTTGTATTATATTTTTAGATTTCATGTCTAACTGATACCGCATGATATTTGTATTTTTCTGTCTGACTCACTTCACTCAGGATGATAATCTCTAAGTCCATTCATGTCACTGCAAATGGCATTACTCCATTCCTTTTCATGACTGAGTAATATTCCACTGTGTGTATGTATCCCATCTTCTTTGTCCATACCCTGCACGTGGTTCAGGAGGTTCTCAGACCCCTGAAGCCACCGCTAGGGAAGGACACCCCCTCGAATCTGCTGTGTTTCGTTCCCTGGAAGGCACTGGGAAGGGCCTTGGGCCACAGTCTGTCTCCATGCTGTGAAACTTTTTACCCTTTCGTAAAAATGTCTTACATTTGAACCCCCATGAGGCCTTTGCTTCTTCAATGTGTTATAGAATATTAACAAGCTCCAAGTAGCTTGTTTTTCAGGACAGAACCAACCAAGCCTCACTTCAAGACACTTGCTTCCTTTCTCCTTGGACTTCTTATTTCTCTCAGGTTCCTGGGCCAGTCTGGACTCTCAGTTCCAACACGGCTTGGCCTTCTATTTAAGCATATTTAGCTTTCAAATGAAGCATAGCTGATTTGAAGAGGGCATGGCAACCCACTCCAGTATTCTTGCTTGGAGAATGCCCATGAACAGAGGAGGCTGGCAGGCTACAGTCCATGGGGTCGCAAAGAGTCGGACACGGCTGAGCAAGTGAGCACAGTGCGGCACGTCGCTGATTTAGAATCTTGTGTTAGTTTCAGGTGTACAACACAGTGATTCAATATTTTTGTAGTCTGTACTCCGCTTAAAGTTATTACAAAACCATGGCTGCTTTTCCTTGGGCTAAACAATATATCCTTATTATTTGTCTATTTTGTTCATAGTAGTGTGTACCTCTTCATCTCATGCTCATGATCTGTCCCTCCCCACTTCCCTATTGATAACGTAAGTTTTTTTCTCTGTCTGTGAGTCAATTTTTGTCTTTAACCTTTGAAAGGCTTGGCTTCTTTGTCTGTGAAAGAGATACGCTAATAACAAGGCAAACAAGACAACCCTGGAGAAGAGAAGTCCTCACTAAGCGGAAGAGCACACTTTATGACAATGGCACTTGCACCAGCCCCCTGGCCAAGGTGGCCGCGGCCCAGAGACAGCGAGGCTGCTGCGGGAAGGAGGACGGGCTGAGCGGACACCCCTGTGCCTCACGTGTGCTGGTTGCATGACCTGGACAGACAAGCTCTCTCCAAGGAGGGGTGATGTCTGTCTTCAAGTGTCTTCCACCCTTGCTCTCTCCAAAGGCACCACGGAACCGGGTCTCAGCAGGTTGGCTGTTAGCCACACATCTGAGGAAGACCCCACCTCCGGGAGCCCAGGCTTGTTCATGAGACGGCGACAGCGGTCCCCGCACAGTCAGCGCTGCTGGGAAGCCAACGCACTCTCTGGCATACGTATCTGGCAGGTAGCACTCAGGAAAGAGACATGATTCATGAACCGGGGCGGTGTGAAGTCTGTGAACCGTCTTCACAGCTCTATTTGTTTTGTGATGACATGAATATAGGACCGTCTGGTGCAGATGCAAAATGGAAAGAAGGAAGAACAATGAGTGTCCCCTCTTGGGAGAAGACCTAAGCCCCCACTCTTCCTCCTCCTGGGCCCCCCACCCCCACCATCTCAAAGTGCACAGGTGGCTTCATAGACCTCATGCTGGGGGACCCGAATGGATTTTATTTGCAGAGAGGGCTCAGTAATGTCTGGGGAAAGACATGTATGAGCATCCACATTGTGTAATCACGCGAAACAGTGAGAAGTTGAAGCTGTTATTAAGTAAAGAACTCTGAAATTGTCCTCCCTTACTGAACAATTGAGTAGCCCCTTGGGGCATCTGTTTCCTCCTTGGTAAATGGGGCTCTGTGCACGGACTAGCTCATGGAGCTCCAGAAGATTTGGGTGAGATACTGTGTGTGGATGTGCTTGGGAAACTGTTAGTCACTCAGTCATGTCCGACTCTTTCCGACCCCATGGACTGTAGCCCACCAGGATCCTCTGTCCATAGAATTCTCCAGGCAAGAATACAGGAGTAGGTAGCCGTTCTCCAGGGGATCTTCCCGACACAGGGACTGAACTCAGGTCTTCCACAGCGCAGGCAGGTTTTTTACCACTGTACCAGCAGGGAAGCCCAGTAAACCATAAAGCCCTGTGCAATGTAACAAGACAGTACAGGTCCAACCTTGGAAAATACTCCTGCGATAGTAGCCTTTGGTATCCTGGAGCCAGGAGGAGGCCACCCTCTTGTAGAAGAGAATCCCTTGATGAAGCACCCACCCTCGTAATGGGTACGCTCAGGCTTCGACGCCTCCCTGTCTGGAAGCGGACCTGTGTGCACCGGTGCGTCCCGGCTCCCACTCCTCCGTGGGCACCTGCCTTTTCCTCCAGCCACCGCCTGTGGGAGGGTGTCCTCTGGGCTTGCTGACAGCTCTGTGGCCATGTACAGGACCCCTGTATTCTGGCCTGTCCTCCTCAGAGGTGGATGCTGAAGTTGGGCCCAATGAAGAGAGTGAGAGGTGAGGGCACCAAGGGGTGCTACTCCTCCCAGGGGCTGGAGCCAGAGGACAGATGCCCCCTCTGTGACCAGGAGCATAATTCTGGGTGCATCCCACAGTCCCCTCCAAGGGCCCTGATTGGATGGAGCCCAGCCCCGCAGCAGGGACTTTATCCCCCCTCTTCCCATCCAAAATCCCGGGGACCACGCCCTGCCCACCAGCCCTTGCCTCCCTCTCTGTGTTGCTGGGAACCCAGGCTTCATCTCTGAGCCAGGGGGCTGCCCCCTAAGAGGACTCGGCAGCCCCCCTTCCTCGGCACTGCTGGCTCCCCATGAGCTTAGTAGGGTCAGAGCTTGATGGATCTTCCACATGACTCGCCGAGGAGGCAACTCAGAAGGGAGCACAGTTTGGCTGAAGCTTTTGCATCCTTGCCTCCACATTGGAGGCAGGAGTCTGGCAGAAAGAGCAGTGCTTAGGAGGTAGAAAGTAAGGCTGAAAACCCAGCTCCATGAGTGACCTCTGGGTGAATCTGGGCAGGTCACTTCAGCTCCCTAAGCCTCACTGCTCCCATCTGTGAAACTGGAGTAATAACCCCAGCTCACTGCACACGTGGTGATGGTTACCCTAGATGGCAGGGCAGAGCTGTCACCTGACGACTGGTGACTCTGATGAGGAAGATGATGATGAGGACAGCTAGCATCGATTTGTTACTCAATGCTTTCTGAGTCTGCTCTCTCCATATAAGGATGGAGAGTCTCTCCTGTGTAATCCTTTCCCTTGATATTTTAAGGCAGTAATAAAAAAAATCTCTGACTCCTTTTACCATTCTTTCTGAATTTGTCTCTTCTCCTCTCTTCCCTGGAGCCTTAATTGACCCTTTATTATTCTCTTGCTCCTTCGTTTTCCATTTCCAATATAGTTCCAGGCGGGTAACTCTAAAGCTACCGCTTGAACCTGTCTCACCATAAATACAATTTGACAAACTATTTCCAAGCAGCCAGTAACACGAGAAGGGAGGCAGCCCTCGCTTCTCGTCTCATTGAGCCTCACGCAACCTTTCAACGTCCACGCAGAGCCCAGGGAAATGGTATGATTTTGCTTAGATTTCAGACAATAAAAACCAATCATCAACCTGGGCACCGATTTTCAGACTTGCCTCTTTGCTGCTTAGAAAAGTCACAGCCATT